ATGTGCTTGTAAAATATTCACCCCTTAATTCCATTGGGGTGTAATGAAAATCTAGATATGAAAGGGCAACTAGTTGAGTGGCACTGCTGCTCTCATTCTCAAGACTCAGCTCTAAACCAGTAAACACCTTTTATTATTGCCCTTTGATTTCCCCATGTCACAAAGTTAGGCAACAGTCATGTGCAGGCATGCCTGGTACTTTACGTGCCTTCTTTACTCCTCTACTGAAAACATTATGCGAACAGCCAGCTCATAGCCACACCCATGTGATAATGTACAGTGCTGCCGTGCCCTATACTTACTCAGCTCACCACAGAACTCTGCCCTGCAGTTATAACTGAGAATAAGGCCCTTCAACAGGCTTTCGCACAAAACTCAGACACCCTGGGCATGTGGACAAAGACTAAACAGATGACTGTCTGGCACTTTGTTTGTGTATTAAGTTTTCTTGGTGACATCTATGGTACCTTGGGCACATTCCTGTAGCTTTTTCTGTGGTGAATGGAAGCTTCTGATATTCAAAGAGTTGCCTTTTCAACCCCCTAGGATGTTTTGATTATTGGGTAAGGGTGTGTCTTCCACCTAATTTTTTGCAGACAGTAGCTACAGGGGTAAACACAAATATGTTGGAACAGCTCTGATACCACCATCTGCAGAAGTGTCATTTTACAAAAGGAAAAAAACACTCGTCTGACCATTGTCAGTGTTCATGGTATCAGTGGATGAATTCCAGTGATGCCAGCTTCATCATGGCTCTGAATTGTCATCCAGTGCCATGACAAAGTTAATAATGAGAATACACCTCAGAATATATCTAGGAGATGTAACCATCCATTTACCACTAACAGAATTGACAAAGAGATTCATTTTTCTCCTTGAGGAATTACACACCATAAAATCTCCAAATCTAGCACGTTGTCAACATTAAGTTCCTAATAATCTTAGTGAAAATGTATATCTATAAGTATATATACATATATAACTATATAATGTCAATGAGAGATGGGCATGGTCTGTTTTATTCAACATTGAAACCTCCAGTACAGCCTCTTGGACATGTTGTCTTTTATAATTTGAGATAATAGTGGAACTTGGGACAATGAGATGGATCAAAAGGCTTAATATGCATAAAGATTTATCTTAAAGCTCTGTTATTTATCTTATATATTACAAAAACATCCCGTGACTTTGTATTGACTGAAGCCGGTTTTATTCCACCGAGGAGTGCTTGTAATGTGTGGAGTTTGTGTCAGTGGAATGCCATGGTTTTCATTTCAGCGCCCATATAAACAAAGCCACCAACTGTGTTATATAAGTAACAGACTTGCCACAAAGTTTCGGATTTTGTCAAATGCAGGTATCTGGAACCACATTTTCCCATGTGTCAGTCACGACATCCAGATATTTCAAAGAGCAGAAATGTCCACAGGCTCATTGTTCTTTCTGTCCCTCCATGAGGATGTATTCGCTTTATTTAACTTTACTAATAAACACCATTAATAATAGCGACGGGAGCTCTGGCATTTGTTGCTACACAGTGTGAGTCACTGCCCAACTGAATGCCTTTTTTAAAAGGTCACACGTCTTATTAGAACAGGCTGTTATTTGGCCACAGATACAGTCCTCAGACCAACCACAGAGAAAACTGGAAATGGAATAGAGGCTCAATATGTCATAAAAAAATAAAATACTAATAGATTGAAACAGTTGATCTATGTGAATTTGCACTGCAACACTTAAATTTCCCACATCATGCTTTCTTATACTGCTACAAGAAAGATAAAGAATCAAAATTGTGGTTTGCTCAGTGCTCAATGTGTTTTTTGTGTGTGTGTGTTAATTCCAGACTCTGTGTTAGATACATTCCAATCCTGGGGAGTTTTAACATTTGAAGAGGAACACTTCTGTCTGATGCTTTTTGTCTGCAGCGAAGCAGCACAATAGTGGTATAATGTCTATTCTCCTTGAACACAATGATGACAATTCCCCTCTGGAAAGTTTGAAGTTTAGATGTATTCACTCTGAATTCTCTAAAGAGAATTGATTAACTATTGTCACAAAATAAAAAACAACAAAAAACCCATAGGAATATAGGAATAACCTAATGAGATAGCACAGCCATTTATTTAAAATGTAAATTATGGAAAAATTATGCTGTGTGCTAGAGAAAATATATTTTCTTTGACAATCATATCACAAAAGAGCACATTTTGTCTCAGATAAGCTAAACAAAACGCATTTCAAATAAAAAAAAATCAAATATGCAGCTTGACACCAGTTGGTCTCATGATGAAGCCTCAGGAATGTAATCAGAACCCTTAAAATGATTAATGCCTTCGTTCTCAAACAGTCGTCATGAGGCCTTTGCACAGCTGCCTAAGTTCTCATGTACAAAAAGTTAGTTTGTGGGTCCCTACCCAGGGTGTGTGTGTGTAAAAGAGAAGGAAAACTTCATTCAGGTATTGGCCTTTAAATGTGTCAAAAGACAAAGTTTATATTCCGTTCTGTCACTCAGGATTACATTTCTGGCAAATTACACAAGGTTTCACGCACACAACACAAGAAATAATGAAAACGTGATAGCGTGCGCTTGTGTGATTTTATAGGTTAATTCGGTCAAAAATGACTAGGTTTAAGTTTGAGTATTTTCTACATCGAGCCACCTCTGGAAAGGTACTTTTTGATAGAAAAAATCATTTTTGTGAATGCAAAATGCTGGTTATTATAAGATCTAAATATGAATTAATTCCATCAACTATAAAAATGTCTCGCCTGCAGAATGGAACTGCAAACAGGTTAAACTGTGTAGTTATAGAACTATAAGAACTGGAACATTAATGAGCTGTTTTTACTTTGCTCCACTGTTTAAACTGCAGCATAACAGGTATGTCGACATAGCTTAGCGTTTGCATGAACTAAATATCTGATTAACTCCAATATGCTACGCTCTAATAATCGTTAAATAAAGAACAAACACTTCCTTCCAAGGAAATTGATCAGACCGGAGGCCATGTCAAAATAAAACCAGAAACTGCACAACTTTAAAATTACAATTCAAAATTTGTAAGTCAGAGTTACTTTCAAGACTCAAAAATCCTTTCAACTTAGCAACTATTCTAAGGAGATCATCATTCTGCATGACATACATAAACAACACAAAGCACCCCTACATTATTGATCACTTTGACAACACAGGGGTGCCTTGTTGATTACTTCTCAGCCTCACAACAGATCGATATCACTGAGGGCTGGAAGAGTGCGGAAAGGTAAACGATGTCTTCTCAGTTTGAAGACACTTGGAAATTGACATACTGCCACATTGGAGGAGGCCTGGTCAATAGATATTGTTATCTCTTTCATATTTACCATCTTTATAGATGTGCTGCCGTGTAAAGTCTCACACATAATCCAACATGTAAGGTGAAGGTGCCAATAAATTTTGATCTACACATAATGTCAAAAACTGTTCCAGGCCAAAACTGTGGTGTCCAATGATTTCAAGATATTCTCCAACAATGGATCCAGCATTGTTGAATACTTGGTATTTATGTCAGCATGTCAGAATCACTATTACTTCATATGTGTAGACCGAGAAAGGTGTACCAGATTTAAAATTTTCCTGTCAAAAAACAAGGATCAAGAAGTTACAGTCATGACTTGTTTACTTTTGCCAAGCATGGGTTTAGCTGACCTTTCCTACTTTTTTTTTCTTCAAATCTAGAATGCTTGTTTAAAGGCCCATATTGTTCCCTTTTTGTATGTTTTCAGTTTGAGACTTTTAAAGTTAAATGACAAAAATAAACTTTTTGGCTTTAACCTGTCTCCTCTTGTCTATCACAGTCATACATCATTACATTTATATAGGACTGCTTGTTTGGAGATGCTTTGAGTAAAAGGAGACAAATTATTTAGGTTTCATCTGATTGATTAAGGAACGACATCATCCACACTTTGAAGACAGCTGATTACGGGTGGTGTTTATTCTTCCTTCTTGGATCTTTCACTTCTTCTGTTATTTGGAGCTGAAAGATCAGGTTGATTGAGGCTAAAAATTTAGACTTGAAAGTGAGGTAATGCTGAATCCGTAAGAAGTGGTGGCAAATAAGCTGTAATTCATGTTATATGGGACAAACCAACAGAACAGTACTGAGGTTTCCAAACATAAGTAAGATTTTAGAGTAGCCTACACAAATTTTCATATTTTTTTATTACTAAGATAATTAATCAGTGTCCTCAGGTTGGATGGTTCAAGTGCAAATAAATTCCAAGGGACATTCCTGACCCATAACTTAGGAAAAATACATTTTAATTTACTCTCACATATGAACCACTCAGACACACTTAAATTTGAAAAGGGCAAAATATCAACAATAATAATCACACCTGTCAGTTCCTTTGGAGAGGTGTGGGCTAAGCCAGTGTGTTATGTGGGCAATAGCTGGCCACAGAGATCACAGCGGTCCAAGATTTGCGAGTGAGCCAAATGAAGCCTAGAACCGTGATTAATGAACTACTTCAACAGCACAAGAGTGCAACCATAACCACTCTCAAGATCACCTGATTAGAAAGTAAACACCGCTCTCCTAAGACTGCACAGCTCAGGTAAATTATTTTCTCTTATTGCAGTGTGGCACGAGCAGAGGAAGGAGGTGGGCGTGTGTTTGACAAACAGGGCGTGGATTTGGCAGACAGACTGGAAGTGCTGTTCACGGTCTCCCACACAGACTGAAATTAACCTCCTGATTGCGAGTGAGTTGGAGTCGCTGAAGAAATCGAAGTACTGTGTTTGCTGAATAAGGACACAAGAAACTTAAAAGGGAAACAACAAACAAACCGAGCAACATGTGGATCTTTTTTGCGCGCTGTGGGCAAACTCTGCGCCACTTATCGTGGCACAAACATATAAAGTAACTCAGTTACTCTCCGGGTAACTGTTGAAGGCAGTAATAAGGGGTGACTTGATTTGCCATGTTTCGTGCGTTGTCTCATGATTGCGACCCATGGGATGTAGTAAATGGAGAGCTGCGTTCAACTTTGGACACCTGAAGGCGCAGTCCAAACTATCCGTCTTATTTACCATGATAATTCTCTTCACATACCTATTTTACTGCCTCAACGGATTTTGTGAGTCCCTACCCAGACCTGTGTATGACCATCACACCAGCCTTCCAAACGAATTCATCCTACATGATGGACAACAAACTGAGCAGGTCGGCGTCCACAACGCGTCCCCGATCTCTCTCGTCCGGGAACAGTCGTCGGAGATTAAAAGTGGTGCTCCCTCTATCAATATTTCTATTGCCAATAATTTCGGCATCAAAAGCTTCCCCCAGGCCATCATCATCGGGGTGAAGAAAGGTGGAACTCGGGCTTTGCTGGAGTTCCTGCGCATCCATCCGGACGTTCGGGCCGTAGGCTCAGAGCCGCACTTCTTTGACCGCTTTTACGACAAGGGGCTAGAATGGTACAGGTAAGTCAGCTGTATGTACTCATCCCACGGATTTAGAGGGCAAAAATTCTGTCTTTATGGAAGAAAAAAGGTTTTCAACGATAATTAACTCAAATATTAAGTCAGACGTAAAACGTGGCCAATTTCCACTGTAACTTCGTCCAAACGGCCATTATCTAATCTAAGAATAGCAATCAGCGAAATGCAATTAAGAATTTTATCTGTCCTTTACAACACTGTTTTATGGACGTGGTTTTGAAATTAAAGCGATAGGAGTTTGGAAAGTGATCGTCACTTGTGGTATTGCTTATTATTTTCTATGTCAGGTGAAAAACTGGGATATGTTCTAATGCTCTTTGGGAAAACTATTGAGAGCCAACCGTTAGGCCGTTTTCGCGTGACTTTCAAGAGAATATGATTGACAGCATATTGCCTGAAAAAGTGAGCATTTGATAAATATGGATATTTATATTGACCTCATATTGTAACGACAATGCTTCTCAAATAATCCCTACACCACAAACTGATATGCTATGAGGATTTCAAAGAGGAGGCAGTCTTTGAAAATCTTATGAATCTTAAAATGCCTTGATTGAGGCAAATTTCCAGTTTTAGAGGGCTTTTTTTCACATTTTCTGGTTCTTGTGTAAATAATGGGGAAAAGGGGGCTGATAGGGCCACAATTAAAAAGTAAACTGAAATACACTCTGGTTATAAGTATTATGGGTTACTTTTGTGCAGCCTGATTAGATCAATTCCTCTTTTCTCTTTCTCTCAAGTCCCCTATCTTCATTAATATCTTTTAGCACCAATAAGATGCTCTGCTGATAGCTTTCAAGGATGGCAGTGTATTCAGTCCCATGTCAATAAATTCCTGTTTATTAAGCTGACACACAGCTTGCCTAAGTGTTTGTGTTGGTCTCAAGAGAACCTTCAACACTATCACAAAGGGAGGATGGGTTACTGTCGGTAGTGGTGCTCTGGCTGACCCTGTACATTCAGGTGGACAATGCTGATAGCTATACCGCTGGTCACAAATGGTTCATAATGTGTTTTTACTCTACAGCCTTGACAAACTGAAAGCATAGTATGATAGCTGCATGAGGTAAAAATTAAATGAAAAATAAAAATAACGGAGTCGTAACCATGTCATGTGAGTAAATAAAAAAGAAGAATTGTTACAGGAAGCATGTGGATTACATAGGGGACCATTTTAAAGTGTGGAAAGACTGAAATTTTTTTAGAAAAGGACAGAAAAGGATACAGGGCAAGGTTCTTACAACCAGGTAATGATTAGTTCGTAGCAAAGCAATAGTGGCGTGGCTTCAAGTGACAACAGAGATGAAAGCGTGCATGTGCACAGAAGTGCTGTTTACTTTGTCATTACTTAGTATATAGGGTTCAGGAAGAGGAAGAGGCTGGAGATTGTTGCTTTGTGCAAACCGCATATTTGCACCATTTGATCTGTAGTTTTCTGGGGTTAGTTTTCCAAAAGTTGCACTTCCCCTTTAACACTAAGAGCTTTAAGAATTTCCAGAGATGATTAGTTTGTTGCAAAGCAATAGTCGTGTGGCTTCAGGTGACAACAGAGATGAAAGTGTGCATGTGCACAGAAGTGCTGTGTCATTACTATAGGGTTCAGGAAGAGGAAGAGGATGGAGATTGTTGCTGTGTGCGAACCACATATTTGCACCATTTGATCTGTAGCTTTCTGGGGTTAGTTTTCAAAAGTTGCACTTCCCCTTTAACACTAAGAGCTTTAAGAATTTCCAGAGATGGAAATAAAGTGATTTTAAAACCTGCAAAATGCTTTTTTTCTGCCAGATTTATCAACTGGGGCTTTGGTAAATACACATTCTTTGGAGATAAAGTGCGTGACAGGGTCTGATGAGAAGGAGAATCTAGCATCTAGATGATTGCTAGAGTAAAGGACATGATGTCCTTTACTCTTTTCATAAATTGATTAAAAGCTTTCTTCTGCAGTTGAGCAATAGCTTTAGAGATCACTTACTCTACTCTGCTGTGGTACAAATAAAGACCTTTTTGGTATAGATGGTACGACCAAGTTGACAGAAGCTTGCAGTGTTTTGTTCCCGTTGCTTCTTGACCTCAGTTTGGTGTGTGATCTCCTCTTATATGATGACAGAATCTTGAAACAGGACGCCTGTCATACAACATACAGGCATAAAGCTGAAATCAAGAAAGTGTTTGAAAAAAAAAGAAAAGTGGGTGTAATGAATACTTCAATTTAACTGCATCATGGAAATTACTGGTCATAATATCCCTGCCATACATTATTAAGGAAAAAAAGTGCTTTTTTGAAACTGGATTGCTATTGGCTAATGCTTGGGGATTAAATAAGTGTAGGTTTTGGCATTGCTGGCTCAAAGTCTTTTTGTACGTCTTTTTCTAGGCAAGAATTGCAAGGTGGGGAAAAAATGTAAATGTCAAGCTTTGTACTTATCTACCAGAATTATGGACTTAGTAAGATTAAAGGTGACAGGACCAGTGACCCTTTAATGTTCCCTTTACTGATTTCTGTTTATATTATCCTGACCATGCCTTGTAATTTTTTAAGCAATCCTAATCTGTTGACACTCACGTCAACACTGCGTGAATTGGACCAGCGTAATGACAGGTCAGACATTAACATGGACAGCTCAGGGACATACAGGAGGACTGAGATGGATTAGGTCTCTATCTGCTGTTAAACAAGACCTTATGAAGCCTCCCAACGCCGCTAGTCCATCAGTGAAGGTTTATTGTGCCCATGGGCGATGTAGTTGTCTTACAAAAAAAGAAACAAGAATTAATAGGAAGCATATTATTTTTTATTGAAAACATTAATGTTTGATTTAAAAAAATCACCAGTTTGACTGCTCTGTTGAAGCACATCTGGAGAGATAATGCAATATTTTGTAACTTTGGGTTTTCTTTGGTATTTAGTGTTTTGTGGCAGGCAAGCGATTTTCAAAAACGAAGCATGAAAGTTATTCAATTTAGGCCCAGGTAAATTAATATAATACTATTTTTATTTATCATAAAGATATGTAGTAGTTTCCACTCTGCAAGATATCTGTCATAGTCCGTAGTATCAACTTTATGATATGATGTGGGGAGCTGCCGTTTCCCAGCCGGTGGTATTGAAATTTAAAGTTGAATACAGCATTGTGGTAAGCTTTTCCTTTTTATGCTTCTTCTGCTGGACTAATGCTGCTGAAATAATGCGAAGTTGAAAAGCTAATTATAAGAGAGGCCTAACTGTCTAGTTTAAGGGCCAATACTTTTAAATACTAATCTGAAAAAAAAAAAGCTTCGACAAATTATTGCTGGGGAAAAAACAAAGTTGGTTTATTGATAAGTCTTTATCAATAAACCATTTCAATACAATACAATGTTATTAACATGTAGAGTTTAATCACTCAAAATAGGAGGCCATTACCATTGAAATAGAACATTGTTCAACTTAATTTAGGAGAGTAAACGTTATACTTGTTAACATATTTATGACTTATTTCAAACTATGTTTGAACGGTTCCAGACGCATATTTTTCTTTTATTACTTATCTGATTTTTTTCCTACACTACACACTTTGAGTATAATCCTGGAAATATTACATGTTTAGTGAGATAGTGAAAGCACTGATTTACTTATCCCATCCCCACTTATTTCCCTGTTCGCTGTTATGTGGCCTGTGTGAATGATAACTTCTGACTTTCTTTTCCTTTCTCTCTCCATTTTCTCTTTTTTCATTGCCTATTCTGAAAAAACATTATTAATTTAGCACAATTACATACCAAGAGCCCTGGTAATTCGCATATATCAATTTTAAACTGAACTGCACTGTGCCTTGCCAACAAAATCATCTGAAAGTGGGCTGGAAAGTATCACTTAAACATTTATCCCCTGACAGAGCTCTTTATCTCCAAGTGCTGTCTGTGTCTTTAGGAGAGAGAGGCTTGGCCCTTGCCTTTAGCCACTAACCAAGTATAACATATGGACATCCTTAAAGGAAGCATTTGGCAAATTGCAAATTTAGGAAAAAAATGCTTATATGTGGAAAAGCCTTGACTTTGCCATCTACTGGAAACGATTGTGTGGTTTTGTTGTGAGGAATGAAGGCTCAGACAAGTGTGCGAGCATGTGTTTGAGCTCTGATTCATTCACATCCATCTTCTCTTTGTCTGTGCTTCGCCCTACCTCTTTCTGACACCCCGAAGATCCCAGATATAAATGTAATTTCTTGATATTGATCTCCTAAAGTAGGTTATTTCTTTTGATAGTCTTTTCTGTGCATTTAACGTGCTGTTGAGGCAGAAATGAATTAACCTCTGAATATTCAATCTTGTTGACAAGAGGCTGTTACTCCCGTTCACCGCTGAAATTTAAGCCCCAAAGCCGGAGTCTTGCTTGAGTGAATTTATTGGCTTGTTCAGGTCACTCAAATTGTGTAATAAAGCCACTTGAAGCATTTGTGCTTCAGACACCCTCTTTCCCTTTATGCCTCTTTACAGTAAACGTTTCTATTTCCTTATCGAGTCGTTCCTTTTTCTCATTGTTTCATAAGTAAAAGCAGAGCTGGATGTGATGCCTAGACAGGAATGTGCAGGTTTTTATTTCCTGTCGGACTTGTCTACCAATCACATGGGATTCTTCTCTGGAATTCTTCTCGGCTCACATTCCTGGTCCATGTTGCGGTGAGTGTTTTTCAGGCTGACAAAGGATTTTGGGTAAAGGGAAGCTTTCAGTGAGGAATTTAAAAAAAAAGGAAACGTATAGATCTTGCTGGAAGAAAGAGAGCTTTGTGTAGAATACAAGGTTCAGTCCTTTGTGAGTCCGTTACATCCATAAACATAAGCAACACTATCCAACATGCCCGTCAGAACTAATATGCATGCCATGACATGTACTTTTATTTAAATGTAAAGGGATTTATTTTTTGGAGTGAACATGAGTGGCTGTGAAGAGAGCTGAAAATCTATTTAGATTTTCAGCTCTCAGCTCTCAATACACTTGAGTA